GTTCCACCATGCAGAACTTTGGCCTGTTGCTTCAGTGCCTCCTCGGGCTCACTGGCCTCTGGGCTCAGCACCCTCTCATCTGTCCTGCCTGTTGCTGCCAGAGTGGCCTTGCCATAGTGTGAATGTAATCTTCTCATATCTTTCTTCAGATAAGTGGCGCACAGTACCTCCAGGATGAAGTCCAACTCATGAAATCCCAGGCCTTCTAAAATGGAACCTTCTCCCTATCTTTAAAGCTTCATTTTCAGTTACCCACGACCATTTCCCCCACCCAGCCCCGCTATCCAACCCCCTCAGAGCCACAACACCCACACACTCATGCACACAGCCCTGGACACCCAAGACCCCCACCAGCACTGCCACTCTCCCTGCGAGGTCCACCCACTGCCCTTGCCTTGTCTAAGCAGTACTTTTCACCTGGCTCTGTGCCCTGCTCAGATACCACCCCTTCAGAAGTCCTGGCCATGAAAGTCTATTTATCTCACTGCTGCATTTTCTTGGGGGTTTTATTTGTTTTTGGGGAATGCTATTTGCCTCTGTTGTGCTGTTCATTTGAAATCTATGTGTTAGGATTATTGTGGGGTGTGTCAAGAAATACTAATTTGAGCACATCCTAATGCCAGATACCAGGCCATAAAGCCAAACAAAGTAGGACTTGCTGGTTAGTAGAAAAAAGCAAATAAGACTGGCTTTCCCAGATTGGGAGCTGGGAGAGGTGAATGGCAGGATCTGAACAAGGCAATACATACACTATTGCCCTCATCTGTCCTATGTGAGCCCCCAGCACAATTTGTTACATTTACTGACTGCTCCATGAATGTCTGTTTGAGTTGAATTGAATTAAAGAAAGGAGACTTTAGAGAGCAAATAGGACAAGGAAATGGAATGAAAAAAGTGGGGAGGGGAATTGGAGGAGGCTGCTCCTCTGAGGGTGTAGGCTGGCTGGCAGGGGTGGCACCAAGGGTTCTGGGACTCACTGGCATCCTTGTGTCACTGCCTCAGAGGCCTGAGCAAACAGTTCCACCCAGCTCCTCACAAGCAAGGACACACTTGGGGAATAGGTCATTGGCAAAGAGCCACTCCTCAGCCCCAAGGATTGGAGTTTCCCTAATTCAAAACAGAAAAAGAAAAGAGGTCTGTATTTGCCTTTTCTGTTGTTGTCATGAAGGGGAGAGTGAAGGGAATGTGTGCAATTTGTTTCAAAGTGAGTTTTTTCCCATATTTCTCAGATTATCAGTTGGCTAATTTAAGGAATGAATCCTTATTGGAAAGCTACTTCCATTGCTTTTTGGAGGATCTGGAGGTTCAGTAAACTTTTTACTGGCTTTTTGTACACTTGCTATGAACTTTCTCTATATGCCTTGATTGGTTTTGATTGGGATATTTTTAACTCTGAAGGGTGGGTTAGAATGTGCTCTTCAGTTCAACACCTAGTGGCTTTGCCAGGTGCACCCTCGGCCGGGGGCTTTCCCAGGTCACACGCTGTCACTCACCACTGAGGGGCAGTGGAGAAACAAAGCTGCTCTGTACACTCTGGCCACACATTATTCAATGGTGGAACATTCTGGTTACTTAATGTCACAGTCACAGGCCTCCTACTTCATGGTCTTACTTGGTATACCCTCTACTCTCTAGAATATGGCCATAGCCCTGACAGTGAGCAGACAGGACCTTCAAGAGGTGGGCCTGGGATCACAGAGCTTATGCATTTTATTCATGCATTTGTGTAATGAACACATGTAGTAAGTGGCTACTATTTCCTAGTCAGAGGGCTAATGAAGAGACAGGGCTTCTAGCCTGTAAGAACTGTACAGTGGGAGAGCATAGCAGGTGTTACCTAAAGGCCTATTACCTAAAATTAGTACCATTCTTTTACAAACCAATCTAACAAGATGTAGTTTTATTTGCTTTTCCAGCCCACAGCCAATTAGCAGTAGTAAACAGAGGGTATGTTAGGAGGATTGGTAACTGTAGACACAGAAATGACAGTAGCCAAGAATGGAGGAGGAAGGCAAGGAACTATACAAAGAAGATTTTGGAATTACAATTATAATAGAGCAGGCCAGCTGGTGTGAAGCGCAAGCAGGTGCATCTCCATACCCCCTGAGGACGTCATTACCTAACATACTCTAGTAACTGACTCCAAATCATTCCAAAGAAATGGATGGCTCTTGTACTTAGGAACAGCTATATTATCTTGTTTGTTTGTTTGTTTGTTTTTACTTTTATTTTTAAGATTTCTGTCTTAACTAGGAACAAGCCACAGTTACCTGAGAAATTTATTTATGTGGAAGGGCCTATTTCTTAACAAAATCACACATATGAAACATAACTCTAGTTTAGTTGAGTCATTTGCTGTATGTACAATTAAGATTGAGTAATTGTCAGAGAACAGAATACAGTCACCTGGAGCCTGAATATGCCATGAGCATAATTTAATCACAGAAAGTATCTAAATTTTCTAAAATTTACTTTCGGTGGTCATACATTTCTGAAAACCACACCACTTACAAACATTAAGTGGTATGGTTTTGGTGAGATGATCCTCAGACTGCAGATGACAGATTATGCTCCCACAGACGTGGGTGGAATGGTGTAAATTGTAACCAACCATCGCTGTCACATCTAACTGTTTTACTGGGAAAGCAGGAGTTCTATTTATTTTATGGGTAACAAACTTCCTAGAACCAGGGGTCAGCAAACTTCTGTGAAGAGCCAGAGAGTAAATACTTTAGGCTTGCTCGTCATAATGTCTGCATCACTGCTACACAACTGTGCCACTATAATACAAAAAAAAAAACATAGATAATATATAGTCAAATGGTTGTGGCTGTGATCCAGTAAAACTGTTGGTTTAGAGCTTAAGTAGTAATTGTGGGAACATAGGAGATATACATTCAAATCTGTATGGCAGCAGGGAAAACCAAGAGTGTGTACATTTGGAGGTGGCCAAAATGTTGACCTTCTGTCAGCTTTTGAATCATGGGGATTTCAGCTTTTTGTTTGATTTTGGTTGAGCAGAGTTTAGAATGTTAAAATTTGCTGGGTACAGGTCAGGTCACTGACACCTCTGGTCTGTAGTCTCCTGCTGTCCTTCTGTTTGGTGCTTCAGAAATTATCTCTGCATCTTTTCATCCTTCTAGGTTGTCACTGGCAACACTGATTGCTGTTGTCTTCTGCAGAAAATTCTGAGCGATGGACCATGGGGAACCATTGCTTTATGTGGGATGGTTATTCTATATATGTCATGACTTCTTATTTCCCAGCACAGTGTACCCAACATGTGATAATCACTTTGAGTATTTGTTGAGTTGTCGTTTCCTTAGACAGGCACATAGTACACATTTAACTACTTTTTGGCCATTAATTCTCTTCTGCCCTGGGAGCAGAGGCCTGGCCTTATTCTGTCATTAGTCTGTGTAACTTTTGATTCTAGAGTGTCTATCATTTTGAGTAGTAGTACTGTGCTGCCCCTTAACTTTTTGGATGCGTCCTTACTTTTCATGACTGTACTGTATTCAGTCCAGATGCTCCTCTTGGGGGTGAGGGAATGAAGGAAGAAGGAAGATTGGGCAAAAGGGTAGGATAACCCACCACAACCTTGAAAGCTTGCCCTTGCCCTTCAGAAATACACACATGACCAGTGCTGCTTTGGAGTGCTTTTCTCTGCTGTGAAGTGACTTGAGCTCTCAGAAGACCGAGAGGCTGCTTGTTATGCTATACACTGTGCGACAGCAGGCTCTTCCGTGGCACCTATGTCTGGTGGTGAACTTGAACCATCACCATTTCTAACTGAAAAACCTGTGTGGTGATACCACAGGCCACAGATTTCAGATGCAGAATTACAGGAGGGGTAGCTATACTTGCTGTGTGTGCTATACAGCGCATGCCATGAGCAGATAGACTATAGTTATTGATTCTTAAGTTATTCATTGCTGTCTCCACCAGCCACCACTGTTAGGAGGAAAGGGAGGATGCTTTGCTCAGCACTCGTTTCTGAGGGAATAGATGTCTTTCCTAGAGAATACATGCCCACGGTCTGCAACATGTACAGGGCATTACAGTCTCCCACATGTGTCACAAGCACCTCCAACTCCCTCCACCCTCACACCAACTCTGTGAGAAGGTGGCTGGGGCTGGAATTGGGGTGTTTTCACAGGCGAGGAAACAAAGGCTCATGAAGTCCCCAAGCCACGTGGTGGGGAATAGCTTTGGACGCATTATCCAGCATTCTTTGCATTTTGCCCATCACCCACAAGGAGAGCAGAACTCAGAGAATCTCTCACCCTTGGAAAAGAGCCCATTTTGGCCACAGGGCTAAAAAAGCTTGGTTTGTTTCAAGAGCTTGCCCTATCCTAGTGACTGCTTTGCCTTTATTGTTAGCTGATGCAGTGCAGTAAGTTAGAATGTCATAATGGTTGCAGCTTAACCCTAGTCCTAGGTAACCACTACTTTCCTCCTAGGAACTCATCCCTGTTAACCCCATACAGCCTCCACATCAGTGCCAGGGTTTGTCCGTGGTGTAGAGGCAGCAGTGTTGCTGCAGAAGTGTTTCCCAGACACCTAGGTGCTCTTCCTCCACCCCCACCCCCTCACCCAGCTTTGTCTCATAAGTCACAATTTGAACACTTCTGTTGAGGCACTGTCTTTCCAGTAGATCCCTCAGAAACGAGGACACTTGGGTTCTCATCCTGCCTCTGAGTTGGGCTCTGTGTGCAGCTGCTGCTCCAGCTGACCTTGGGTGAGGCGTTTGCCCTTTGAGGTTTCCCTTTTCATTATCTGTCATGTGAAGGCTTTGGGCAAGGTGACCTTGTTTCACAAAGGCTAAGTTCACTCTCAGGAGTAGGGAAAAGAACTCACATTTTAAATGAACAGAAGATTTAGGCAGCTTTTCTGCAGGAAGTTCACACATAGATAATCATGGCTCACTTTAGAAAGGTATTTTTGTCAACTTGCCTTGATGACAATACCAAATTTCTGGGTTCTTTGCTGTCTTCCAGATGCCAGTATGGACAGAATAGCTTATGATGCTTATCCCCACCTACCACTTCCGAGACATTGAGCGGAAGCCAGAATACCGCCAGCCTGAGAAGTGTGTCCCACCTCCTCATCCCAGTCCTGTGGGAGCCATGTGGTTTATCCGTGACAGCTGTGGCATTGCCTGTGCCATTGTTACCTGGTTTCTGGTCCTCTATGCAGAGTTTGTGGTCCTCTTTGTCATGCTGATTCCATCCAGAGACTACGTATATAGCATCATCAACGGAATTGTGTTCAACCTGCTGGCCTTCTTGGCCCTGGCTTCCCACTGCCGGGCTATGCTGACAGACCCTGTAAGTATGTCTGGGCTCATTTTGACTCGCCCACACTCTCCTCCTCTGGCTGTGGCATGGCCACAGCCTGCATGTTTCCCTGACCTTGGACTGTGGAGAACAGAAAGGCCAGGGCAGGGGTGGGAGAGTGGATCAGGCCACCTGAGAGTTCACCATCTGTGCCACAGCCTGTCTGTCTGGGTTGAATGGTGCCATGGGTACTTGGTGTGTACATTAATTGAGCCTGCGGTGGGAGGGGCTTGGTCTAGGGGAAACGTAACCTCTAGTTAGAAAAGCTCAGTGAGACTGGGACCAGATGATCAGATCAGAAAGCCCCAGGGGATGGTGTCAGGTCAGGAAAGAGCTTCCCAGAGGAGACAGGACTGGAGCTAGTTGGATTTGAATATTAAAGCCGTATTCAGAAAACTGAGTGGAAATGGCCTTCACTTTTTTGGGTCAAGACTCAACTTTTCTTGAAAAACTGGACAAGTGTGTTTCGGGCTGTTGCAAGTTCTTCTTAGTACTTGATCTGTGGGTAAAGCAGTGGTGTTTTGCCTGATGTCTTAGCTAAATATACCAAGCTGTGTAAGTCGCTATTGAATGTCATATACCCTAATATTAAATCCTCCATTCCTTTTCATTAACTTATATGAGAAAAGCAAGATAGTGCATTACTGGATAAAGACCTCCTATGGCCTAATAATTTTGGTGTGTGGGATGGGAGTGTTTAAATTAAGAAACGGGAAATACTGCTAACGGCAGTGCCCTGGCCACACAAGTTTTGCTTCCGGGAGTCCCAGGGAAAGCACAGTGAGGATGCTAGGTCCTGAGCCAGTTGCCTTCTCAAAGGGCTCCAGGTCCTGCTGGTGTACCTGGTAGATTGTTAATCTACCCCAAAGGAAACCAGCTTTCCAAGCTCGGTTGCATGTCAGCAGCCTGTTTGACAGCACCTCCTCTCCTGCACGTGCTGGGAAGACCATACACACTGGCAGACCCAGTATTGGCAATACTGTAGGATCATTGCAGCTATCACCTGAAATAAATGAAGTACAGGTTTCCTCTGCTACCCAAAAGTAGAATGTTCCTATGAAACCATTCATAAGCCAAAATGGCTTAAAGCAAAGACACAGTTACCATTTCTTAAAGCAAAAATGCTCTTTGGATTAGCAAAAACATGTACTAACATAAGTTGTTTATAAAAGCCGAGTGGCCTAAAGTAACCTTTTGGATAGTGGAGGAAACTTGTGCATGGTCATGATCATAAGTACCCCAAAACACAAAGGCATAAAAGAATTTTCCTAGCAGCATCAACTTGGCCATACTGGAAGCAAGTGAAGGGTTTATTTAGGTTTCTTTATGATGCCCTTGCAATTTGGGGATACAGAAGTAAAAAATATTTTCCTCACTTGTCATTTAGTTTCTACCAAGTCCCCAGGTACTGTTCCTACCCTCAAGGTGCCCTCTGTCTAGAGATGAGACATGAGCCTAGCCTCCTGTGACGAAGTCCATGGCAGAAGGAAGCCCGGGGGTGCCACAGAAGAAGTAGGGAGGGGGTGTTAACCAGTCTGGGCAGGGATGGCTGCTGGCTGGAGGGGCTCTTGTCAGAGCGGTGTATGTTGGCAGGGGGGTGGAG